GTTGAGCTATAGGCGCCGAGCCCATCCTGCTATTTCCATGCTATCCTAAATATCTTTCTTTCTTGGCAGACTAGCAATCCTTTTTGTTTGTTTTAGTGCAGCTCTTGTTTTTTATTCAAAAATTGAAACCAAAGAGACAGGTTTTTAGACACATGTTAATTTTGAAATCCAGAAGCAATCACAAACTACTGTTCATAAGGAAGGTGGTTTTTAATACCATAGAATCTCTGACATGATAAAATACATACTTCCCTAGCTCAGATAGTGAGATCTAGGCTGTCTGAAAGCCATCTATTTATGTGAGCTTCTGCAGAGGTACCTGCATATATAACTAGCTGTATCTAGTATTAGGTAATTCTTTCCTTTTTTTTTCTTAAACTGTTTCCATAGAGACTGTCAAAAATTGCCAATGCCTACTATACTTCAAATTGTCACAGTGAAGTATTGGGGGAAGTTTTCAATTCACAGTAATCTCAAATGGTGCCTCGGATAAACCTCATCAACTATGACACTGCCCCTGTGCAAAGCTAGATAATTCTTAAATAAGGATTGGCTGTTACTTTAAATACTAATGAGGAAAAATCTTTGAAAGCCTTATAAAAAATTCTAAAGTTCTTAACATAATTTTCCCCCCAGAGAATGTTTGTTGTAGAACTTTGCAACCAGAATTAGACAGAATTCTCCTAATACCATGCTTATGTTTATAGGATTATTTTTCCTTCATAAATTATGAGGGTAAGATATAACTGCACATAAATTTAAAGAAAACAGAATATTTATAGTCAATATGAGAGATGTAATCTAAAACACAAATATATAATGTAAAAATGTGGCAAAGACAAAAACCTCATGTAACCCAAAGCATACCACCTCATTGACCCACGGGAAATTCAAGGATGGGCCTACTAACTGCAGAAAGAGCTTTCTTTTGGTTTTGGCTCTGGAAGGCAGTTCAGTGGAGTCCCAAGAATCTCTGCAAATTGACATTTCCTCTCTCTCTCCAGCAACACAAATCTCTGTCTCAAGAATAAAATGAGGTCTGACTATGTGGAGCCAAAAGCACGAAATGGCATAAATACAGAATAGCACCTACGTTTTAGAAAATGGAAAAGAAAAACGTCTTTTAAATCAAGCCCTGAGAACCTGAAGTGCAGAACCATAGCTATGCGATAAATCAGTGAAGATTAAACCAGGGATCATTAAAACAGAAATGGTGAAAGGAATCCAGCCTTATATGCACAGACGAAAATGTCCAAACGCCTTGGCTGCATTCCTCAGTGCCCTTCAGAGTCCATTTGTTCTAAAGAGCTGTGGATGTTATGGAATTAAGTAGTTAAAGGGAACATAATCTGACCTTTAACTCTAATCAAATCTGTCAAGAAACTGGCAATATGAAGAGTCCAGGGAGCAGTAGGAGGAGAAAGGGAGGATCATGTAAATGTAACACTTACCACAGAGCAACAAAATACTTTGAAACAAGGATCGTAGATTAAAAAACAATCCAAACAGGCTTAGCACAGTGGCTCATGACTTTAATCCCAGAACTTTGAGAGGCTGAGATAAGACGATTGTTTGAGGTTGAGAGTTTGAGACCAGCCTGGACAACAATGTCAGACCCCATCTCTCCAGCAACCTTCATATTAGCCAGGCATAGTGGTGTGGCCCTGTAGTCCTAGCTACTTGGGAGGTTGAGGCAGGAAGACCACTTGAGCTCAGGAATTTGAAACTAGCCTGAGCAAGAGCCAGACCCTGTCTCTATTAGAAATAGAAAAACTAGCTGGGCACGGTGGTGGGTGCCTATAGTCCCAGCTACTCGGGAGGCTGAAGAAGGAGAATCGCTTGAATGCAGGAGTTTTCTGTGAGCTATGATTGTGTCTCTTCACTGGAATCTGGGCAAGAAAACAAGACTCTGTCTCAAAAACAAACAAACAGAATGAACTAAATAAACCAAGTGAGGCTGGGCCTCATGGCTCATGCCTCTAATCCCAGCATTCTGGGAGGCCTAGGAGGATGGATTGCTTGATCCAGGGAGTTGGAGACCAGTCTGACCAAGATCAAGACTCCATCTCCACTAAAAATAGAAAAACTAGCCAGCGTTGTGGCAGGAACCTGTAGTCTCAGCTACTCAGAAGGCTGAGGCAGGAGGATTGTTTGCGACCAGGAGTTTGGGGTTGCTGTGAGCTATGGTGACGCCATGGCACTCTAGCCTGGGTGACAGAGTGAGACTCTGCTTAAAATAAAATAAAATAAAATAAAATCTAATGAGCAACAAAGAAGCAAACGCCCCTGGAGCACGTGAGTTCAGTACTGTAAACGATTGGCCACGGTTTTGCTCTCTGCACTGCAAAGTGTCTAGAAAGCACTGATTTGGAGAAACAGGAGACAGATGTAGAAAAAAAAACAGCACACACACAGGCCCCCCGTGTTTGAATAGTAGAGAATTTGATCGTGTCCTTTTGGATTCTGGAAACCTTGTGCACATGTAAAAGGGAAGCATGTTACCCGAACGACTCAGGATCGGATTTTCGTGCTGACCTGATCTCGCAGCTCATCATGAAATGATGCTCACTTCATCTTACGGCTTCTCCAGCCCTGCTTTACAGCCAGTTCTTAGGTAGAGAATACAACTAAGAAAGAGTCTGCCCACTGAAGGGGGAGGATGGGGTGGCCAGGATGTCTGCCACCAGGTGGGGATGTGCTGACCCTACCCTGTGGGAACCGCCGAGCCCTCTGACCGGCGGGCTGCAAGATCTTCTAGACATCACTGGGCTACGAGGTGGCTTACCCAGGACAAGGATCTCGTTTTTAAAATCAGCCTGGAAAAGGCATAAGAAGTTAGTTAGTCTTGTGGTCATCCTATAGCCCTCAGGAGGCGTTTTCCTGTTTTGGTTTTTCCGTGCACACACAGCATGCCGCACTCTGCATGACTAACTGAAGGGCAGAAGGGGGCACAGTCTGGACACACCTCAGCGTCCCAGCTTCTCACCGGGTTCCACACCACAGGCATCAGTTGCAACTTTAATGTGGGACTCACAGGCACAGCAGAGGGAAGTTAGCACAGAGAAGAGGGTGGAATACAACAGATGCTAAGAACACACCCGGGAAAGGCCACTCGGTCCCAGAATGCTTAGCGGTTGGGTCCTAGACGCCCTTCAGTCTGTCTCCTTGTGCTTATTGAAGAAATGCAAGGTGAGGTCGAGGGAAATTTGCCTAATATCTACCAGATTTCGTAGGATTTGCCAAATATTTGTTGGAAGCAAAATTCTAACAAAACACACATAAGAAGAACGTAAGACTTTGGGGGTGGGGGGAGTGATGAAACATAATTAAATACTGAATAGTGCCCTAACTACAGGTTCAATTGTTTGTATTCTTTTGAAGTAAGATCTTTAATTAATATGGCAGTGGATAAACTAACTTTCTTGTGTGCAAGTATGTTTTATTTTTTTCCCAATATTGGACAAGATCTAGCAATGTCCTCCCTGGTATTTGATGTAGCTTACAAGAGCTGTAGTGGGATTGAAAGACTTTTCTTTTCTTTTCTTTATTTTTTGAGACAGACTCTCACTCTGTGGCCCTGGGTAGAGTGCTATGGTCTTAGAGCTCACAGCAACTTCAAACTCTAGGACTCAAGCAATCCTCTTGCCTCAGTTTTTTTTATTTTTAGTAGAGAAGGGGTCTTGGGTCTTGTTCAGGCTGGTTTCAAACTCCCGAGCTCAAGCAATCCACCCGCCTCGGCCTCCCAGAGTGCAGGGATTACAGGTGTGAGCCACCAGGCTCGGCCTGAAAGACTTTCAGACAATAGCATGTGGTTTTCTCAACTCACATTTAAGAAAATTTTTATAACACTTTATAACGACTGATCTCAGATCTGCAGTCTCTTGGGATGAAATGTGTTTGGCCTGGCAGAGAACACCTGGTCATTCTCTCTTCTGTATTAGAGCTGGGATGGTAGTTAGGCCATTTTGAATAAAGAATATTTCTTCTGAATATTTCCTGACTTGCTGTCCTTGGCTGCGCTCATGTGATAAGTTCTAAAGAATGGCACATATGTGATGTCTGGGAAGCAGCCTTGGAAGAAGGGGGCACAACCCCCCTCTTCTTTGCTCCTCCTTGCTGGCTACAGCAAGGAAGGGATTGCTCATGCTGCCATCTTGGACAGCACTGTGGAAGCCTCTCCCTAAGCATGGTGACAGGCCATCTCCTCCTTCTCTAATGACTGGAGCCACCATCCAGTCCTGCAAGCCCTACATTTATGCGTAAGTGAAATTTACTTCCACTTTTGAGTTTCAGGGCACTGCCTCTACTTCAGTCTTGCCTAATACAGGGGGTCCTACACGTACAAATATCAAGACTCACAGGGAAAAACATCCAGCTGTTGGAATGACACAGCTAATAACAGCTGGAAATGCCATGTGAATATACTCAGAAGTATCAGGGCCCAATTTTATGTTGGGAACTGTGCTCAAGGGGATCGCCTTCTGATGGGATGACTTCCAGGTGATGAGGCATCCTTATGTGACCCCAGTAACTTGAGTGTCTTGGAAGAAACCCAAGAAAGAGTCTTTGCTCTTTTCATAAAGAGCTTCTACTGCAATTTGAGTCCATATCCTACAAGGCTCTTTTACAAAATAGTCTCCTGGATACAACTGAAAGCTCAGCTTCTAGAGGAGCTGAGATTTATAAGAATTTTTATTATGAAAAACCATCATTTAAAAAACAGATGCTCAAAAGACTAGGGGAAATATTAGATTCAGATTTATATTTCAGACTCATAACTCTAAGTACCTTTCATCTTCTGTCATCTAAAAAGTGGGAATAATTCTGACTTTCACAGAAGAGTTTGGACTGCATTTAGTTTTATGGAAGATTTTCTTTGTCTTAGAAAATCCTTGAGAAGAGTATAATTGAACTGAATCGACATGAGTTGATTAAACAGTGGTTGATAAGGGCTGATAAAAATGTTCCTGCAGAGGTTTCCTGCACAATACTACATTATTAAAACATTATTAAAGTGGCATTTTCTCTTTGCTTTCAGTGCCAGGTGACTTTACTTCTTTGTAATGAGCATCAATGATGACATTCTTCCAATAAAAAATACAGCAAGCTTTTTGAAAGGACTCAAAGTGGCTCAGTTTGCTCCTGTGTAGGACTAAACCATAATAATAGCCTAAAATCTGAAGTTGACTCCATTTGTAGTTATAATTACAAGCACAAATGATGTCACTTAAGCTATTCTTTCTATGGCTAGAAAAATAGTTTTGGAGGGTTTTAAAAAACTCATTGGGAGATTAAAAATTAACATTTGCTCCCAGATATGAGATAAAATAGAGAAAAACCACTTGCTTGAGTTGGTTACAGGCATTTCATGTAGTTACTAAAATGCTCTTTTAAAACCTGGTTATTTTAAATACCTCCATTCTCTCACAATATTCTGCAAATGACTGAAATTGAAAGAATGCATAAGAGGGCCTTGGGTTTTACAGGAAAATAAACCTTTTTAAGTCCCAGCTTTGTCTGGATACAACA